AGTCTGAGTTTACGGCAAGAAGTGTTGGTCTAGAAGCTTCGGTGCTCGGCCGGCCATAAGCTTAGTCTAAAAAGCTTATCGTACGGTTCCCAGGCGCGCGGTGCACGTGGGTCTTTATCGAACGGTCACTCGGTGAAGCAGTAACCTGGACACGTGGCGTGTAGTGATTCAATAAGTCGATAGCGTATAATAACGGACGATGCGCGGCCGCGAGTTCAGCGCGCAGCCGGGAGTCGGTGCGCAGTCGTGCCGTTACAGAGGAGATCCCACACTTCGAGCGCCTTTCCCTTGCCCAATGGGACGAACTGAGCGCATTCTGTCATTCGTTCCTTGTGTGTCCCTTTGACGCTGTCTTCGACCACGGGCTGTTCGACCTCGTGCGCATCCTGGATCCGCCACGTGTCCTGGGCGACGCAAGCCCAAGCTGCGGTGCGCGCGTGAGGACCACGCATGCCTGGAGTCTACAAGGATTGGTGATGGCCGGCCCCCGCTTTTATGGAGAGGGATCTGCAGAACTCGTTTTTGCCAGCCGCGCTGATTTGTGCGTATCAGTCTGTCGATTCATTCTTCTCTGTGCGTATGCAAATGTTTTCTGCCTCCTTCTCACTGCTCGCCTTGATCCCTGCTGACCCCGTCGTGTGTCGGATTGGCCGACATGCCCAGGCGAGCCCAACGTGTTACCCTTGCTTTACAGTCGGGTCGAGCTTCGGTTGACGTGGGGCTCTACTGCAGAGATGGGCTTGGAGGGTAAGTCATCACTTTGGCATCTCGAAAGCATTCATGTGGGTCCTGGATGAGCTCCGGGTCCACTATGTGGCAGAGCTTTGTGAAATGCTCAGTGGTGGAAGCTGAAGAAATCATCAGAGTCCTGTCATTCTCGACTTTCCGTTCCTATGATTCGAGCCAGCCGCTTGCTGAAAGTAGCTTCTGATGACGGCCGCCAAACTGCGCCTTCTCAGCAACGTGGCGTACAATCAGGCTGTGACCATTTCAAAAGAAGTGATCCGCCTCTCTGCCCTTCCCGAAGCAGTCTTGCAAGCTTACGACGGCGCTAGAGAATGAATATCGCAACGAGTCAATTCAGGGAGGTCATCTCGGTGAGCTCGAGACTGCTTAGCGAAGGAGGATGCACTCTCAAGGAACGGTCATGCCCTCGTGCATTGCCTAGGTGCATTCCGCTCCGTACTCTCGATCCGCTCCGACGCTATCCAGTTCATCACCTTGACCTCTGCTGATGTCACATGCAGACACCAACCCGGGCGTGCTGACGTGTACCTGCGGCGGGCTTCGCTGGAGACAGCTTTGTGAAGCTGTGCCTGCAGGTCGGCCCCATAGCGGTACCTGCATCATTGAGAGGGCAGTCCCCGCGGGCTTAGTTTCGTTGGGCTTGATAATATCCAAACCTCTTTACCTTTTTAGGGCAGACAGTAGAGCTTTTAAACAAGCGACCGTTGTTGAGAGTGGTTCTGAGGAGTTCGAAGTTTCTTGAAAAGAAATCTATGTTGTCAGGCATGGAACACCTGCAATGATCAGTTTCAATAACCAGGTTCGACCATGTTTGCCAACACATACCCGTACAGCAGATATCAGCGGAGTAGACTTAAGCACGGGGTCTTCGGTACCTCATGCCTTGCAGCAAGGAGTGCTTACGGTCGCGCTTGGCTATCTTTCTTCCTCCCAACCAGAGAAAGGCACGCGTTTGAGCTACATGGTAGAATCAACCGATCCTGACTGGTGCGTTTCTACCCTTACCTTGCTCTTTCTCACCTGCTATGCACGGCACTTCCAAGCGCATGATGGGCCATCAATGACGCGCTGCTAGGCCGGCTGTCACACGCTCAGTATGTGTGAGATGCTATGTGGAACACTCAGGCGCATTTGTGTCTGATGTGAATTGATGAGTGTGCCTCGCAGTTGCTAGTCATTCAATGATTGTGGGGGATGCGGCTCGAAGTTTGCCTTTAAGGATGCATGTCGGATGGCCGGAATGGACAACCAATTCGGACGGCACTGCGCAGAATACCGGTCTTCTCATTGCGTATACAAGCGGCGCGCAGCAGAAAATCGCATCGCGTCCCAGTAACAACATGAGCGCGGTTACTTTGAGTTTGCACGAGGCTGGCTCGGGTTGTTAAAACGTGCATGCATCGCTCCCGGCGCCACCTTTTAGAGACGAAAAGGGCCCAAGCAGTGTGCGCGAAATTTGAGAATTGTTGCGCAATCGAATCATTACATTGCTAACGTGAGTTTGCCGCCCGGCGGAACTCGTGCATCATTGCATGCATGAGGCATTTTGATAACGATCTGGATTCGATCAGATGAGTATGAGGATGTGTTCGGCAAATTGAGCAGAACTTGGGAGGTTGATGCCGATGAACTAGCATTGATGGTCTCTTTTCGAATCGATCATGGCAGTTTAAGACGCTATCGGAGTAGCTAAACATGAACCTAGACAAAATGATGACAGAATGACATAATGAACAGCATATTTACTACATCGAAAACGCGTTCCTAAGGACCGGGGGCGGGGTGTGCCTGGAGGTAGTTCTGGAAGGCTGCCACCTGGTGTCCAAGCCAGTAGAGGCCCTCTGCAAGCAAGTTGTGACGGCTAAAATCAGGTTGATAGACATAGAGATTGACAACAATACGTAAATGGAAGATAGTCTGGCACCAGACGCGATTAAGCGAGGTGGTTGAACTGTACACGTTTGCAAGATAAGCAAGCGCGGAACAGCGAGCAACAAAGCAAATCAGGTCAGAGAGAAGCGTAGCTATGATTCATTCTTTATCCGAACTTGCTGGAGGTTCGGATGGGTCGAGCAAGGCTGGAGGAGAGCGCAGTACTCACCCGCCCGGAAGATCACGACAGCCAGCAGCTGTAGGTCGGTGACTGGCTGGGGTGCCTGGTGCCCCAGGCCAGCTGTGAGGCCTGAAGGAGGACGGAAAAACCGTCATACGCTGACTGGGGAGGGTCTTCTGCTTTCAAAAGCGTCGCAACTTCCTTCAGGACAACTTTTGCGTGTTTCTGTTGCGTCGGGTCAATCTTTGGCTTCTTTCCAAAGATGCATCATCGTGTTCAGAGCCAGACCGCTATGCGAACAACTCATCGCAGAATGCGGAACTTTGCCGGTCAACATATGAGCCTCGAAGTTCAGGCGGTATTTCACTGCAACAGGCACTCAACCTTATAAAGTGTCACTTGCATCAACGTGAAAAACAGGACTTTTGATTTTACCGATGGCTTTGATCACCGTTAGAAGCATGACAACTCCTTTTGTACAGCTGTACAGTGGTCTCATAGGCCCTGTGATTATCATTTTCGAGGTTGAAGGTTTTGCCGATGGCATGAAAGCATTATCGACACAAAAGAGCAGAAGCCTTTCAATGCATTCAGAGACGTCTTTGGAAGCCTTGAAGTGCTCCTCAAGCTCTGCTTCTGAAATCCCCTTGAATTTCCACAGCAATCCTTGTTCATCCAGCAAGATGCTGTATGACCAGACCGAATCTATCTGGACGCTCACGCTCCATAGAGTAGGCCAGGTCTTGACCCAAAAAAAGGTTAAAGGACCCTACTTTGGGGAATTGACACCTGAATGAACATCCAAAGTCACCACAAGGCTGGACTGCAGACGGCTGAAAGGTCTCAATTCATCATGAGTGAAAACAAAACAGAGCGTACGACAGGATGATGGGCCAACCGAGGAAGGAGCCTAATGAGCGGATTGCACTCAATGTTATAGCTAGCAAAGCAGGAGGTGAAGGACCAGAGGTGACTCACCACCAAGAGTACCGGTGTCCTCCACAGGTCTGTATGCGACAACTGGACTCCCTGCGGGCGCCTGAGGCGCCATCACCACCACATCGTGCAGATATCCGAGTCCCATGAGAGCGATGGGGCTGCTCGAGGCAACCAACTGGATCATCCGCTGAATTGCACGCGTCACCCGGCGCTGAACCTGGGAGACTGCTGTGGAAGCCCGGCAGACAAAGCCGAGCCTAAAGGAAACGAGAGCCCCTGCGGCTCTGCTGAAGATGGGGCTGCTAGAGAAGGCGAACTCCCATGGCAGCGTCGCGTGCACGCTGACGTGCCACATCATCCATGGGTCAGGGTCCACCCACTGCAGGAGGCCCTCGGGATGTGCATCCTCTACATCCGAGTCGTCATCCCCCCTGCTCCGCTTCCCTAAGGTGAAGCGGCTCTCAGTCTCCATCTCCGTGCGTGCGTCCTGAATTCAGCTGTGTGAGAGAGCGGAAATGGACGTACCAAAGGGAAAGATATCCTTTGTGAAAAGAAGTCAGACTTCTGCTAAACGGCCAGCTGTCGCACACTCCAGAGGCCCTTTTGCAGAAGAAGCCGTTGGCCCGACCGCGGCAACGCCCTCGCTTCGTCAGATGTTGAAGTTGGACGGTCACGATTGGCGCGCGCGCGCGGCTTGCACGAGAATCTTCCCCAGGGGGCCTTGTTTCCTCGATCGTGACCGCTCAAAGGCTACATAAATTCTGACCGTGTTCCCTGCGGAGCTGGCCTTGACTAAGAACATATATAGACTGATAGGCGCTGATTGATCACTTCACTCCTTTATAAGACATGACCTTGCCAAGAACGCTAGACCCGTTGACGCTTACCAAAGAGGTCGGACATAGCTTCGGTATGCAGATAAAAGCACGCAGCCTGGCCTTCGAGGAGGCCACGTGGCGACACACAGTCAACTAGGAGGCAGGAAGCCGAGCGCGCGCGCATATTGCTCTCAAGCGAGCAAGCGAGTATCCAAGGAGCTGCCTCAATCCAGCTGTCTCGCAAGGAATTGGGACGAGCCGACCTGCTAGCAGCTACACCAGCACCAGTTTGGTTCCTCAAGAAAGACTCGAAACAAGCTTAAGGACTTTGACTCGGAGTCACCTGGAAATCTGCGACTTAGCGCCTTAGGGCAGATCAATAAATATTGCAAGTCAGTTCCCCAGTGATCAAGCACCCATCACGCACTAGTACTTACCATGCTGCCGGGCTTTTCATGAGAAAAAAAGCCTACATTGTGGCAGTTTGGGGGGCTTGCCAGGATCGGCGCCCTGCTGGCCTCTGGGGCCTGCGGGCCCACGGCCTCGGAACCATTGCCGCCATTCGCCAACCTCACATACCATTTGCAAAATAAAACGCGGACCATAGGCGCGCACCCTAGTTTCCGCGAAATTCGGGATTGCTTGCTGAGAATTGTTTGCTGCATGGTTTCGCGAACCTCCACGTCCCTAATCGAATGGAATGCTGCGTCGAATCGACATTCACTTTATCGCCTTTGATCGTAGACATGTTCACGTCCTGCTTGACAGAATTTGATAGACACTATGCATATGCCGATGGCCCGCGCGAAGACATTCGCCGAAAATCAGCTTTCTGCATACTCAGCGCATGCCTCCCATGCGTGTATATCGAGCACATTTGTCGCTACTTCCGGAGTGCGCGTCGAGCAAAGCGAGAGGCCAAAAACGTAGAGCTCCGGCATAAGGTTCACGAATTTGCAAAATCACACCCTGAAATCAACTTTTGGGACGACCTGTACCGCAAGTATCTCGCAGAGGTATCTGGCATCTCTTCCGAAACGTTCTTCATCATCGTACACGACATACAAGGGAGGTTTAACCGACATAATTCGACACGTTGGCGATCTATCCGATTTGGGGGTCTTCTCTTGTTGGCTTATGAAGGTCGAAAGGGCTTTCATCATTTTCACAAACATTGGCATCACTTATCCCTCTAGCCTTTCTGACAATCGTCGTGCATTGACATAGGTTCTCCGCATGATTGCCGCGCGAGCTCCTTTCTAAGCTTGTCTTCTAATACCGTAGGGCTGAGGTCTTCAGATAAACCTCTCTCTACGGATTGTATAGTTTCTATCATCATCTTCTCGTATTCAAACAACTCTACGAAATAACCTTTTCCGCGGTTGCAGAAATTGCACACCCAGGAAAGATTGTCGGCATAGGTATTTACAGCTACATCTAAACGATCAATCTCAGGGAAAGCACCGCGGCCCCACAACCGTCTGTTCCATTCCAATGGATTGTTGCAGATATAGCATCTGCCCTTTTGCTCGGTCCACTTGGCCACAGCTGACGACTTGTCTAGTGGAACGGTATCCACATCCACATAACGCTCTCGCTGTCGCATATCGCTATTGCGTGCTGTCACACTCTGACGAATGAGTTCCTCGTAGTGATACGCAGGAAAGAATCTCATGTGGTGATTTCTCACCCTCGTGCGCTTCCCACGGATTCCGTCGATCACCCCACTCACTTTCTCCAATGATACCAGATCGTTATGGTCTGGAAGGGTGTTCTCCAAATGATCCAAGTCATTTGCATGATGGATGTCGTTGGGTCCAAATCTCGTTCGATACTGTCGTTCTGAAATGGTATCAGTTCGTTGTGTTCTTGAAGGCCGTTCTCTACTTGTTCCAGGTCGGAATTCGTCGTTTCCGACTCTCCTTCGACACCTTCATTCGTTCTAGCTTGCGATGCACTTTTTAGTACTTCCATTATCTCCTCCAATGTTTGGCAAAGTTCATGCAACGACGGTTTGGACGCCGTATGGCAAATCAGGCTTTGTAGTAATGCGTCTTTTTGCACCCGCAACTCTCGTAGTACATCGTTCCTCTTGACAATCCTCTCCAGCTCTTTGAAGCATGAGGTGCACATCCACTGAAGCGTACCTCCGTCATCGAAGATGAGGGAAACTTCCTTCAGATGCAACACCTCTGCACATAAACCACAAGATCCTCCGTAGTCTGGTACATGTAGATTGGCGGGTCTCTCAGTCTTGCAGTACATAGCCTCCAACTTTATCCTCTTCTGAAGTTCCGTCGTTTTGATATTCATGATTAATCCCTCCTCATCGACTCCCGCAACGACATCCCTCATCTCCTGCAACATCTGCTTGATATCTTCGACCACCGCCAAAATCTTCGCTATCTTTTTGGCCTTTTGTTCCTTCTCCTCTACCTCCCTGCACTCGCGAGCCGTCATCACACGCCGTTTCTTCGAGTAGTCCTCGGTCGAGTAATTTATGCGCACGTCGTCCCGAGATTCGCTCTCATCGACCATCGTGGCACCACGTTCCTCCTTCCTACCTTTGAAATCAGGCGACGATGTTTCGACGAACTTCGTACACGAGATCTCGCCGGACGACTAGGATACCCATCCAGAGTTCATACAGACGCCCTATACCAACTTTGAGAAACTTCCGATCAGGTTATGGCATCGAATATATTGAAAGTCTTGCTGACGTCCCAATGCTCGCATGTTAGAATCAAACGTTTGCCTCTACAGGTTTGTAAAAGGTCTGCTCCGGAAGTAGAAAGATGGAGTAACGGTCGGCGGCCTCTCGTGTGAAGCGATTCGTTTGGACGATTTCCTCAAGAATGATCGTCGTTTGTTGAAAATTCACTCTACCTATGCACTTCGTCAGACGCTCTGGTTCATCTGTAAGCAGGTGCAAGGGGACTTTGAATTGGTGAACGATGTCAGGATGAGGAGTCCAGTTGCTCGTGAAGTGTGTGTAGTACTTATAATTGATTACGTACTGGCTCACTACAGCAGGATGATCAATCCCTTCAGTGCACATTTTGAGCAAGTAGTGAAGAAGGTTATTGTCCTCCAGGTATTTGAGCAGTTCCTCCTCTCCCTTTCCCAGAAAGCGCGGATTCTTGATGTACACTCCATCTTTTACATTGGATTTGATATCGAGGATCAACGTCATCAGTGTCCTAAACGTACTTGAAATGACGCCGTATCTGTTCCGTGGGATGCCGAGGAGATCACAGACTTTATGTGACAAGGGAGCAACGATATTGCAGTTGATGCACATATTTCTACATTTTGCTCAATGTTAAATTGTGTTTGTACTGAACGCGCGTGCGTTTGGGCAGGTTGTGCAAGCCATGATTCCTTGATAGATTTCTTGTTGTATGGATCAATAACCTGCCTATTGCCACGAAGTGATTCTATCTAGGTGGTTCTCTAGTTCATCAATACTGGTCAGAACTTGCTTCATCTTGCTCGGGCTGTCGCGCAGAAGAACCCGCATTCGGCATCGAAGCTGTTCAAACGCTTCTCGTGGGTCGCCAGTGATGCTAACATCAGGATCCGAGGTGTCATGTTCGTATGGATAGTCGTACTCCATTTTCGTAACTTGTCACTTAGCTAGATTTTTTTTGTGGTAAAATTCGTCGCGGTGAAGGCTTAAAATCGCAATACAACACAAACTGTACGAAAGATGTACCACGCACACATGTCCGATTACCATATATTTTCGTGGTGTCGTAGTATGACCATTCATGCATCAGCCGTCGTCGTGGAAGAAACCTGCCAACTGGCTGCAAACTCTATCAGTCCTGATAGCTTACTATAGTCTGGCACAACTCAGTAGGCTTCTCGTCCAAAAAGACACACACTCCGTCCCCGTTTGGGCTCCATCTGCGATCGGACTGGCAGCGGCCCTACGTTTTGGCCGTATACAAGCTGCAGGAGGTGTCTTCACGGGTTCCATATTGCATTTAACCGTCATGTTTTACACGTCCAAACGATATCGCCATCCTAAATTCCTCGCGATCGCTCCTGTGATCGGCCTCATCAATGGCTTGGAAGCGACCATATCCTGTACATTAGTCCGCCTGCTGAGTGGACGCACTAAGAACTGGTTCGACACGAGAAATAGTGCATTCGCATTCTTCGCGGCGATGCCCATCGCCCCTCTGATATCGGGATACAGCATCGCTATCCTCTTGGTCGCAGTTCGCATCAGCAACGCGAAGCAAATAGGGCTCTATGGTGCGGCTCTATTCTTAGGACGTCTCGGTGCCACGTGCGCTTTAGTCCCGGCACTCACTCAACCTTGGACTGGAATGGACAGACGTCGGATCGTCTCATTGAGTGCGGTCTACCTGGCTATCGTCATCGTATTCTCTTTCGTCTTTCTGAATAGATATGGGCTGGTCGAGAGCGAACAACTCCGACCCCTCGTCTTTCCCGCATTCGGGCTCGTTCTCTTCGTCGCCTCTACCATCAAGGACATACGCGGCGTCACTGCAGCAATCTTGCTGGCAATGAGCTTGGTGATTGTAGGAAGTTCTAACGGAAAGGGTCCGTTCAGTGGCAGTGTTCACTCTCCTTTCTTTTGGCTCGTGCTGGAACAGAGCTTCATATGCGTCGTGAGCACTGCGAGTATATGCATGGCAGCTTTAGTCTGCGAACAGGATGCCACCAACTTTACGGTCGCGACTTTGAACAAGCAACTTCAGGCACATCTCCACTACCGCACCCGTGAGTCCGCGTCTGCGATGGACCGCGCGGAGGACACTGGCCGCCACAAACTCAGTTTCATACGCCGCATAAAAGAAGAGGTGCGGGCACCGCTAGCAGCCTTGAGCTTTTCAGGAGAGGGAAGTATTCCGAACGACCGGGAGAGCATCGAAGTTCTCGTCTCTAGATTAGACGATCTCATTGAAGTCGGAGTCGCTGAGACCGGACGGATGTCTATCGACGAGTACGAGTTCGACCCCATCGAGAATTTCCGCCTCGCTTTGAGTCAGTCACGACCGGACCTCATAAATTGCGCAACCTGGAATACGACGGACGATGTTCCGAGGAAGGTGTATGGAGATGCGGTAAAACTCCGCCGCTGTCTCATGGAGATGATCATGGATACTTGTTTCAGGGCTGGAAAAGTGGACGCCTTGGACCTCAAGGTCAGAGTGGTCCCCTTGGAGGGCAGTTCATTCGGTTCCGATCATCCAAAACGTCAGATTCAAATTCGATTTAAAGTCTACGCGGCAGCTCCTTCGAAAGCGGTCGATTGGAAGAGTGTCATTCCAGAAGAAGATACACTTTCAAACGATCGTCCACTAGCTCTTTGTGAGGAATTGGGAGGCAGCCTGTACCGCTCATTAGACGGACGAGGGACGAGACTCGACATGCGATTTCGACGTATGTTGTCAGACACGGCGGCTGAAGATCCTCGACACCTGCCGGCAATCACAGAAGGAGCGTTCAGCATAGAGAGTGCGTGAACAGCCCCCAATGGGTCGCGTTCTCTTCCTCACCTGAAAATAACATCTTTGCAGGAGAGAGACATGGAACTCGCATGCACGGACTCTGAGTGGGCACGGATAATGATCGTTTTCCTCAACATTCAGTGCTCGTTGAAAGACTTGCTACCGCAGATCTTTCCCGATATGTGTTCCGAGCGGATTGCTCTGATCGATACCGTCTTATTGTCGTGGAGACTAGAAGACGCAGAGCAGCACCTTATATGGAAGCAAAAAGCCAGAGAATGCACTAGATACATCAATTTGTTGAACTCGTTGGGCTGGATCTCACCGTTGATCCAGCTCGCTCTTCAGGTAGTTTCGATGTGCCCTGAAAGCTCCATGACACCGTGGATAAAACGTACCCTGACTGGCAGATTCAGTGCATGCCGTACATCAGCAGCCTCTTTATTGCTTCGGATCACCAAGCGACTCTCCAACATCCTGTGTGGGCTGTACGTCTCAGCTCAATCTACGGCTCTCCGAAAGAATGCAGCGAGACAACGAATACTAGCAAACGGCTATTGCCCGTTTACTGCTCCTTCTCTGCGACTTTCAGCTAAAATCGAAAGAGAAGCCATCGCAGCCCTCACGCGACTAAGAGAAGCTTTCGTAGATGAGGATTATGGGAGGAAAGTAGGATATTGCGAAAATGGTGAACAGATTCAGTGCTTCATAGATATTCTAAATATGTCTAGTGTCTGGCTTCGAGAAGTTTGGGAGCATTGTGCCCTCATATCGGGTGAGTTTACGGTCCACCCATCTTGAACGTCATGGAAAGTTAACCAACCGGGGAAGTTCGACGAATATGTGTGGTATCCGCGGACGGTTTCGAAATCGAAGCCTGAAAAATTGGGGAAATTTCCATAAACCGAGCAAAGTGAACAATGTGTGGTTCATGGCAGTAGGCAGTTCTCAACGGAAGCACTTGAGTCGATATAGGCAGAACGATTGACTAGGAAGTTAGCGATAAGCGCACGCATGGACGCCCACCAGTTTATTCAGCAACACGACAAGGTCACGAGCAGTGGAATCTACAGCTTCACAATCGTGAAGAGCGCACAGATGAGCTCAGGCTGTAAAGACGAATTGAGGACGCTAGGATTTGCACTAGTCGAGCACTCTGGCATATGTGAGATCAGAAAGCTCTCACGTCCGATGCATGCACCCATGCCCATTTGCACCCAGAACTTGCCATCCAGCCCTTTCTTCCTCGTTCCAATGGTAAAGTCGAGTGCACTGCGAGCGGGCCCCTTCCTGCCTGGCTTAGCTTTGGGCTTGGGCTTTGCCTTCGTCTTAGCCCCGGCCTTCGTCTTGGTCTTTCGGTCTTTCACTGTCATCCTGCCATAAGTCGTTTCGGCATGTGACTTAGTGATCGACGGGGACCACACTCGAACACATACGGTGTGGCGTTATGTCGAAGATAGGAGGGCCGCTGGAACCTTTTTGGCCTGGTCTACCATTCTGACGAAGAAATACAGGCAGAGACCTTGTATGAAGAAATTGAGAGCTATCTGCGCAAACGGTCCCCAGTTCACGACCAACGCTTTATCTTTCTTCGCTTCCTCGAACGAGTCGTATGGCGCATTGGGGCCGTTCTTTATAGTATAGAACGAATTATCTAAGGTGTGAGTGGATACCAAGGACAAGAATGGTCCGATGATGTCTTCGACGAAACTAGTGACGATCTTGCCGAACAGCCCACCTAGTACCGTACCTACGGCGAGATCCAACATGTTGCCACGGCTGATGAAATTCATGAAATGACAGCACTCGCCCTTGACCGCTCCGCCGATCGAAGCCATTCAGTGACATAGAAGTCATCGAGAAAACTTTCCGAATCTCGATCTCGCGATCAAAGAGCTGCTGATTAGACCATGTACCACACATAATCCTATGTGTTTTCAGACAATTTACATCCTGCAAATGTACACGGTCATTATGGGACCGATGGATCAATCACTGAACAGACCGCGACATCGTTACAATCATCCAGTGGTCTGACAGGCTAAGCATGACATATCTGCCATGGCCCCATCTTGCAGTCGTCCCGAGGGACGAATCATCGTCTACGAATCGCACGTAGTAAGATGTTCCGAGCACCATTGCAGTCCCGATCTACGACTGCGGAGCAGCTTCCGCATCTGAAAGTCCTCGCGGCTCCCAAACCTTCATTCACTTCCCCGCATCTGCCACATGTCTTGCTCGTGTAGTGGTCGGAGACGATCAAAACTCTCACTCCTCGGTCAGCGGCTTTGGCTATCAGCCGCTGCTTAAACTTGTAGTGCGACAGAAAGGACATCTGCCTGACGGTCTTGCTCCCGATGCGACGTCGGATTTTTTGAACCATCTCGCTGGTCTCGAATGACGGTAAGAGTATAACCTTGGCCTTTCGAGTCAGGAACTCTGCGACCTTATAATGCATCTCGTCACGCAAGTTAGCGATCTTCCTCCGGACCTTGATGATTCTCAGTCGCACCGATCGTCGCTTCCTGCGGTGTTCCTTCGGGATGCGCTTTTCGAAGGCCAGGAGTCGATCTAAAGTGATGGCTAATGAGAAGAGACGCTTGGCGCACCCATCGCCCAACTTGTATGCCTCGCTGGGGCTATACGCTGTCTGGAACGTCCTCACCGCCGGATCGAGGGCGATCACGGCCTCCTTGGTTTCGTTGATAAGGGACTTGCTTTCGCTCCTCACTTTCATAGGGCGAGCTTTCCGATAGGGGATGAGGAGGTAGTATCTGGCACCATCGAACTGTAGCCGACAGTCCTTCGTAATCTCACCGATTGCACCCAGCGTCTCGAACTCCCAAGGACAATAGTCTCCGTAGATGATCAAGGTGCGCTTGCCTCTACTCTTGATAGCGGTCTTTGCTACACCAACACACCATTCTTTAGAATCTTCCTCCTTTCTCGACTTGAAGGCGAGCTCGAAATGAGCGATGTTTCCGCGTGCGAGACTAGTGAAGCAGGCTTTTGCATTGTTGGCCGCTTCGAAGACTGCAGCGGCCCTCACGTCCTTGGGTGTATTCAAGAGGTGTGGTTTGTCTCCGTTCACCTCAGCCGGAGTAATGAGGTCCCGAAGGTACATCTTATTGAAGCTCGCTGTCTCGTTCATGAGAAACACCGCCTTATTGTAGCTGTATCGAGCTGAGTGCCTCCAGTCGTTCAGGATTCTCTTCTGATACTTCTTTGGGAGGATCCGAACCTTCCTCATCCTGATTAGCTTCTCCTGGTCCTTCTCCACCTCCTCTTCGTCGCTCTCCTGGTCGTCCTCGTCCTTTTTCGGCACAGCTCGTATCTCTTCCGTATCGTCTTCCGTTCCATCGACAGCCGAACACCTGAACGACCGCGAGCACGTCCTCCGCCAGCTCTGCTTCTGGAGACTTATCGTCTTGTTTGAGAACCACGAGTTGGACACCGTGTCTCTCGAAGAACCATAAGAGAAGATCGAATCCGAAACGACACAATCTGTCTTTTGAGGCAACCACAATCTCTCGTACAAGTCCTCTCTCGCTCTGTTCCAAAAGGGATAAAAGTCCCTTCCTCTTGAAGCTGAGGCCTGATCCGATGTCGCAAACAACTGAGTGTCTGGGATATTGGTCACGCAGATGCGCCTCTTGACGTCGAAGGTCATTCTTCTGCTTATGACTGGAAACTCGGACGTAGACGTAGGAGGCACGCTCACCGGATGGATCGAGACTCTTGAGGTCGTAGATCCGCTTTCCTCCGGGACTTCGCTCGACCTTAATCTTTCCAGCGGCCTCCCATCTGATGAGGGTCCTGGTGCAGACACCGAAGTGACTGGCGGCCTCAGACAGTCTGACATATCCCATCCGACTCGACCTTGGCATACCCCTATAGAAAAGGGTGTGGGATTTGACCGCACTTGTCTGCGTTTGTTCATTCAATCACGAAGCAGTTATTGGGACCTTCCGTCGTAACCCTTCATAATGTAGTAGCTGAGGATCGAAAGCTATATGTATGATACGGTACTTTCCAGAGGCAGCTTTTCTTTCCAAAAACTTTCGACAATCGATCGAGACCGAACCACCCGTGACGTCGCTCCTGTGAACTACGATCACCGCACCTAACAAACCACTGAGAGCTAACAGCTCCGTGTGACCGCCGAATGTTTTGCGATGCCGCATGTACTTTGCATACGATATGGGTCCTCGGACCGACTTGGCTGCGTCTTCTCCCTCGGCAGATTTGTACTCTAGTTCGACCAAGTCCCTCCCCGTCGGATTCCCTCGGACGCCTCCCAAAGACGACCGCCAAAACCTCAACACATAACCGATCGCCGCATCTCTCAACCGTCCCGACACTCTCTTCAATTCGTCTGGTGTCACGTCTCTACCAGCGAGGGTGGCCGCAATCGCATGAAACATGCAGGATCCGTCCGCGGGCACCTCCACGCATCGGAAGTTGCTCCGCTTTTCCATGACCCCTTTGATATACACCAGTCAAACGGTTATCGAGCTTCTGTGCGCGTTTCGTGCGGTTCCAATCGGTCCCTGCTTTCGAGGGTCTATCCTAGGGGTTACATGTCGGGCATTCCGAAAGAATGTCGAACGATGTTGCTGGTTCTGGTTCCCTACACATATGCGGTCTTGGGATTTCTCACGTACCACACACTTTGGTATGGAGCCGATCACCTATATCAAACCACCTGCACACGCGGTTACTGGAGATCTTTGCTAGTTGCTTCGAGCGGTCCGTGTACCGCACTCAAACGGTTCGGTGATGCTTCCCTCGCTGCATCGACTGGGACGGCCTTAGCATTGGGCAGCATGGCCACAGTAGCGGTTCTGCGTAACGTCGGAGATGTAATAGTCGCTACTTAGGACAATATGTGCAAATGGATGAGCATACCATGGGAGACACCGCGTGCTACACATGTAGCCCCTCTACACCGCGTGCTCTGGCCTATATCATCGCCGATGGCCTTCTCGGGAGGCTCCACTTCGACCTCAAGCAGAGGACATACCTTATATACACGACATTCATGCACGTGAGGAGCCCGACGGATCTTCCCCCGCAGATCTTGGCGGATGCCCTTCGAGAGATCGAGAGGATGGTCACGGAGTTTTCCTAGGAGGTTTCCTTTGAGGTGCTTTACAACAAAGGGCTATGGAATTCTCACCAACACTGCCACTGGAAAATCAGGATAGACGAGAGGAAGTTCCGGAAGCTCAAGCGCGACCATCTGAAAGCATCTTGTCTTTTTCAGTGATGCACCAGAATCTCACTCTATATAAGGCCACCGCCGTGGAAACAATCTGTTAGAAAGGTCGACTGCATAAAGTGATCGAAACGGACAAGCCAGCACGTTTTTCGAGAACGATGTTTGCTTACATACCACCAGCTGAATTTTCGCGACTCTGGTTGATATGAATGGCAATTGATCTGGTAGTCTATCCGATATTTTTGAGATTGGTCTGGAACCACGCACTCGTAGACGCTTCATCCCTTGGGTTATCCAGAAGCATATGCTTTGGTCGCCGCCAAGTTTAAGCTGTATATTCACAAACAATGTATCCTTCCATGGCCTAAATGTAACCCTTCTATCGTCAAAGTACTTTTTCGACTGTCGGCCCACAAAACCCACCAAGGCTGAGTTCGCCAGCTCCTAATCACGATATTCGATATCGAGGCCCTAGCGAGGCAGAGCCCTCCAGAGGCCCGGTCGAAACCGATCCCCCTGTCAGGCGCTGATGATGCTTCAAGTATATGTTCCTCCCTCCACTGATGTCCCGGTCCATCTTCACCCGGCACCAACCGCACTCGAATACTTTCCTCCCTCCGATTGTCTCATGGATCCAACCACAATTCGTGCATGTCCCTTACGGCTCATCCAACACCATCAGATTGACCCCTCGCTCCTTGCACTTCATCGCCAACTGGGCCCTGGAAGTATAGTGCGACCAGATGGACATCTTCCTACTCGTGTCTCTCCCGATCCTCCCGGCGTGTACCACGTATATTCCGAGTGCACATCCTCGTCGTTCCGAATGGGGGCAAGATTAGGCTCCCGAAAGTATCCGTGAGTATCCGGCACTGGAAGATCGTGCCGTCTTCCAGTGAACTTTCGACACCAGATTTCGGACCCTATCATGCACCCTCAGCTCCGCTTTCTGCATCCGCCTGGCATAGGCCCTGCTCCGTGGCGGGCAGTCGGGTGATCTCGGAATGAATCCGATCCGCAGTGTCCTCGAGACGTATCAAGCGTTGGATGCACCCTGGTGCTATTCGGATGGCCACTCCTAGGGTCGGACTGTATCCTGTCAGGAAGGTGCGTACAATCGAGAGTGACTATCGCGTCCCCTTGGTTCTCGAGGACGGTCACATCCTTCTCGACCGGAGCGTGAATGTGGAAAGTGACCGAGTTTGTTCATGACGAGCCTAGCATCGAGTTGGACCTTCCCCGATGCGTTCAGCAACTCGTTTCGATACCATGAAGAGGGCGTCATAGATAGATTAATGACATAGATTAGATCTATGATTTAGATCCGTCCAATCGCCATGAATTAGATTGCCATGAATTAGATCCATGAATTATATATGATATAAATGCTAGATTAGACATAGAGGACGCCATTGCTTTTGCCCGCAAAATCTAACCTTCCAAATTTCCTCATGACTTGACATGTTCTCGATTGTGTTTACAGTCTGTCCAGAATAAAATGGCACACGTAAAATTGTGCCTGGACGACAGGCGCTAATCTATTGGTTGGCCATTAGTCTTTTAACCAGTTACGAGTCTGCCACCTCTTACGATACGATGACGAGGTGTGGTTGCGCCGGATCCGCGCACAGCGACGCCGCCTTCAGCTTCAAATCGACTAGAATCCTGAGAGGCTCTGGAAGTCGAATAAGCCTTCCTTGACGACCGGCGAATCTTCGACGACTGAGGCACGCTCGTCGCAGTCGAGCAGCGGATCATCCGCAAGCGGGTCCTGCTGGCAGAATGGAATATCGTATAAGGGTATTTCCATTGCCCGTATATTCTCACTAACGCCTGACTTCAACTTCAGCCGACCCGTTGTCTAACGGCAACCTGACAGCCTCTTTCAAGCAAAGTGAGCCGCAATTGATGGAATCAGAAGCTTGGAGGACTACGATTTGCTATGAGCTCTTACAGGCGGGTGGGCAGAGAAGGAGTCCCAATTCCACTCGTCCTGGTCAATTCGGGTAGGTTCGGGGAAGGCAAGTGTGGCGAGGGGACCGGGAACGTCCATTTCGCTCACATTGTAATTTACCGTCTGCAAAAGAGAGAAGGTTCTGAGGCCGAGTCAGGTCTCATTCTTTTCGAGATGGGCATTGTGAGATGAATGCTGAAAGACAACTTGCTAGAGGCATCCGATACTACTGCCCCTGCTTGCCGACAAGGCTCCGAGCATCAGAAGCTTGAAGGACCAAAATGCGCTATTATGCGCTCTTACCGGCGCGTGGGCAGAGAAGGAGTCCCAGTTCCACTCGTCCTGGTCAATTCGGGTAGGTTCGGGGAAGGCAAGTGTGGCAAGGGGAACGGGAACGTCCACTTCGCTCATATTGTAATTCACCGTCTGCAAAGAAGAGAAGGTTCTGAGGCCGAGTCGGGTCCTCATTCTTTTCGAGATGGGCAATATGAGATGAATGCTAAAAGACAACTTGCTAGAGGC